AATTTACTAGTGGAGAAATTATCTAGAAATTTTCCATCAGCACTTGTAAACCCTGAATTGGGGTTTTGTTACACATTCCTTCTGTTCAGCTGTGGTACAACAAAATCCTATATATGGTCTGCTGCTGGAGGAGCAAGGAAATAACAAATGGGAAATAACTGAGAAGAAAGCACTGAAGTGACTGAAAAGCAAGAGAGAGTGACTTGTGAAGAGGAGGATAACTGTGAGCATCTGAGGAGTTTAAAAGCCAAAGGGGAAGAAGAATTATTTGCAGGGTCCAGTAGAGTTTCACTGGGTGTAAAAAGCTGAGAATGAGAAAGGGATCTTTAGCAGGAGCAGAGGGAAGCATTTCATCAACACCGCAGCCTGCTGGACCGTGAAATAGTCTCCCGAAATAAATGGTGGTAGTCCTGCAGCTCAGGTCATTTTAAATTAGAGTGGGCAGGATACTGGAGCGGATTCTTCAGGGAACAACTCAATACCAAGTCCCAGGGATGGCCGTGTCAACCGCTCAGGCAGCTCTGCTGCTCATGATAATTGGGCTCCACCACGCTGCCAGGAGAAGATGCTGCTTTTGACACTCGTTCACTGACGCTGCTTGTCATGATATTGTGTTATTTATACATTACTCTGAGTCAAAAAGTCTCTGTGAAGAGGCAGGCAGAGCCCTCATAAGTCAAAGCCCTGCACTACTGAAGTTGATAAAAGGTATAAAACGGCTTGCACTAAACCTTCTAAACTGCAAGATTTTACCAAAAATACCCCTCAGCAAGAAATGCTACGTGGTAATGAGTGAACAAGGAACAAGTCTGAACTAACAAACACACTCTGGCAGACTCTGTGGGGCTTTTTATTGTTTTTGTTGTTGTTGTTTTATTTTTATTGTATTTCATTTTCTGTCTACTTACAAATGCTTGAGTGACAGGCATGGAGGCTGCCATCTATCACTGCTCTTCAAAACAGAGAGGGAACAAACATCAACATTCCTCAACAATGACCCAGTGGGAACAACCTCTCCTAAAAATAAAAGCATTTTCCTCATACCTGTTGCCACAGCCTATCCATCTCCTCTTCTCTTTTGCCAAGAGAAGCATCGACTAAAATGCAGCTCTGTGGATGTGCTTTGCTTTTTTCAGGGTATCATAGAATTGTAGAATGATTTGGGTTGGAAGGGACCGTAAAGATCATCCAGTTACAACCCCCTGTCATGGACAGGGACACTTTCCACTAGACCAGGTTGCTTCCCACTCTTCATGGTAGGAGAATTCCCACTGCTGTGTGGGAAGCACAGGGATGGGAAACTTCTATGAGAAGGGAAAGAGGATTGTGCGGGAGATGGGATGACCTGCTGGTGACTCCAAGGGAATGACGGTGTGGTCTGGAAGGGGTTTTTCTTATCTTCCTTCCTCATCACCTCTAGAGAAGCCATCTGCACTGGGAGGATCACTGGAGGCTTTCTGCATCAATACAGCATTTAGCATCTTTCCTATAGGTCTTCCAAACACCAGCTGAACTTCTGTGAAGTTCTCCATTCAATACTTACCATTTCTTCTCAAACTTTTATCACCTCCCATTTTTCACATGACCACAGGTGGAAATGAAAAACATGGGATGCTAAATTATATATATTTGCTGTGACAGAGCCTGTGCCAGCACTGAGCACTGACAATGCACATTACAGTTCAGCTCATGTATTTCTGATGGCACATTTTACAGTGCTATATATAAAGTTGTTATGGCATCTATTATTCACTGCCAATACAGTTCAAGTTAAAATAGGTTTTATATAACAGTTCAAAGCAATATTTTAAGAAATAACACTTGTGTCAAGGCTGCTGTGTCCTACCAGATTTTGACATTTCCAAGCAATAAAGATCTTTATCCAAAATGTAAGGTTTTGGCGAGACATCTCCCTAGCAGACTTCTCTGGTTTTAATCTGCAAGCAATAGCAAAACTAGCACATTTAAATAAAATGAACAGCCAGCTGAACTTTTGACATGGCTGTTATCTGTCTAGGTGGAAACTGTGAACACTGCAAAGTGCCTCGAGGGATGTCCATGACAGAGAACAATGTCCCATTAACCTGAACCTCTGAAGAGACACTGGAGATGTGGAAAACACACAAGTGGGAAAAAGTAATTGGAACATTAAGAAAATTTCTGTTATGGGCATGATTTTATATCTGGTTTTCAGGACACAAGACAGGAAGAGAATTTATTCGCTCGTGTCTTTAGCAATCAAAAAGGTTTTATACCTGTTCTTGCAAAAAGGGCAAATTCAATGTCTCTTAAGAAAAAAAAAAAGCCAAATGAGCTGCACCATGAGCTCCCCCAGAGTTGTGTGTAATCAGTGTAGCCCAGAATTTATGATGTTCCATCAGTGATCTGTGATCTCCTCTGTGCTGCTTGAGATCTATATGTTCCTGGTGTTGGATATGCAGCAACACAAAAATCCCAGTGAGAGCAATCTACTTGCATAAGACAAGTTCTGCCCAGCTCTATTCTTCATTCTGGTCCCCAAAGAACAACGGAGAACAAATGCTATACATCAATTTGGCAATAAATTTAGTTTATTAGTTGTGTTTGACAGTTGAGAATAATGTTTCATTTTAACCTTCTTGGTTACTCAGTGGTTTTGAAAACATGTTGGGGAAAAGTTGTTATGGTGACTATGAGCTCAGTGAATCCCTTCTCTGTGTACCCACAACTTCTGCTGAAAACAGGGAAGCTTTAATGTGCTAGATGAGTCCTTTCACAAGAAATATGTTCATGTGGGTCAACAAACAGAAAAACAAAACACAGTGAAAATTATTTAAAAAGCACCATCTGCTTATTCAAATGCAGCTGGGGAGAGGTACAATGCAGTCCAAAAATCCTCATTTTCATTACATTTCTTTCAAAAGTGATGTTAAATAAAATACCATCAGTCCTAAATGTTTTCCTCCTGAAGAAAAATGTTTAAGCTACATTTGAAATAATGCTTGTGGAATGCAGCCCTCCTTACAGGATGAACATGGATCTTGGAGAGCAAAGCAAAATGGATACAGGATATTGGGAAATAAACAGGTAAAAGGAAAGTGCACACATTCTTAGGAAGCAAAAGCCTAAACAACATTAACTGCCTAAATTGACTAAATCATTAATTGCATATACTGAATAAGTTATTCAGAGGTAAATTCATATTGAAAAGGTATCCAGGATCAAATCAATACATACGAAATTTGCACAGTACACAAGTGTTGTATTTTTTTAAGAGTTATTTTTTACAAGTTATTTTGGACGATGACTGGATTCACTTAACCCCCCTCAATTACCCCACCATGGCCATGTGGTCCAGTATAGCCTATTGTAGAGACATCAGTTTGTGGACAGAAGTGGGATTTAACCAGAAAATAAAGATCTCTCTGAGGAGACACCTCCTGGTTTTCCAAAGCTGCTGAGGTTGAGGCTGGTTTGGGGTTGCTCAATCCCCAATGCCTAATGGACAAACACTAAATGTGTTTTTTTTTGTTTTCTGAGGAGGACAGGGATGACACAAAGGCAGGAAGAAAAAGGCACTGACTATATTTCAAACAAAAGGGTCACAAAATCACAGAATCACAGAATGGGTGAGGTTTGAAGGGACCACAGTGGGTCATCTGGTCCAACCTCCCTGCTCAAGCAGGGTCATCCCAGAGCACATGGCACAGGGGTGTGTCCAGACTGTTCTGGAATATCTACAGTGAGCTGGAGTTGTGGTCCACAACATCATTTCAGAAGTACATTTGCTACCAACCTTCTTGAACATCAAAGTGCAGGAACAGCCCGAAACATGCATTTTCTTGCCACAAAGTTCCCTCCAGTTTGTCCTGGTGGGTGCAACGAGATCCCTCAAGTATGAAGAGACAAATCACACCCAGAGATACTCCACATGAACACATTCTTTAACAATTTCATTCCTAGTAATGGACACAAGCCCACAAAGCTCATTCATCTCTGTTCAGAGAACCATAACAGAAATTAGACACACACTAACCTCAACCCCCTCCTGTAAAACTGTCAAAATTTCTTACTTAGGGAGTTGAATCAGATTTATCCATCACTGTTTGCAAACAGAGGTCACAGCCTCAGAGCTCCACTCTACACTAGGAATGTTTGTCCCCTTTTTGCTCTGTTAACTCAATCACAATTCCTGCTGTACCGCAACCAAAATCTATTCTGATAAAATTAGCACAATCCAATTAAAGGACAAAGTATAGTCCTTAATTAAATGTTCTGATCATTCTGAAGCTCTCTATTTTTTTTTTTGGTTCATCTTGAGTTTAGGCCTGTAAAAGCATACAAATTAGAAAGATTTAGCATGTTCTTGTTTTACCCATTTATCGCTTAAATTTAAGTAACAAGAGTTTCCCAAAAGCATAAAAAGAGAAGTATAAAAAGAAAAATGTGGGATGTTTAACTTATTCAGGTCTCTTTTTGTTCCTTTTATTTCACATTTTTACAGTACCTTGGAAAAAAAAAAAAGGAATAAAAATAGTATGTCTTCTTTTAATAGACCAAGAACGTCCAAATACTTTGATACAGCAAAATATTTGAAATAATTTGAAAAGGTTAACAAGTTATTTCCTTTTTTCTACCTATTATTCTCTCCCATGGTAAAGCTGAATATTTTCTGTCTGTGACAAATTCCAGTTTCAAGTTCGTGTGCACCAAGAAAAGTTGATTTGCTGCAGAATCCAGCTTAAGCTCCCTCACTACAGACTCTGCCACGGGAAACTCACTGAAAAGAACCCAGTCATTAGCCCGTGAACATCAATTAATTCCTGTAATTTCCACCACTAGTCATATGGATTTCTAACTCTTCCTTCTGTCACCCATTTCCATTTTTAGAAGCACTTGATAATCTCTCCCATTTTTAGTGACGCTGCACTGGCAGCAATGGAAATCAGCATTTCCTTTGGGACAGCACAAGGGATCTGCAATTCCTGCTCACAAACCCATGATGGGAGAAGGTCACTGACCTCAATCTGCTGAATGGCCTCTTCCCGCTGCCGAATGGCCTCCAGATCCTCCTCCGTGATTTCCGAGAGCAAGGCTTGGTCCTGGCTCTGGTTCTGCCACGTGGCATCTCCCCCATTAAAGATCTTCTCATCATCAGGTAGGTCAGAGAAGGGGGTCTTGGGGCTCTGCTGAGATGGGAGAATGGAAAGAAAGAAAAGGAAGTGTAAATGTGAACCAGTTTTACCCAGCCTTAGTGTGGGAAACTAAAATATTAATATATAATAGATGGTGAAGAGGAGAAAAGTAAGTTCCATGAGAGAAAGCATTTCAAGTCTCAGAAGAAATGTTAGGACCTGAAGTCAAATCTCCTGAGCTACTTTGGAGCCCCAGAAACCAACCTCAATTTTCCAGCACTTGTGACAGAACAAAACCTTAACATATGTCTAAAAAAAGGACACATTTACCTTGTTGTATTTTCCTGAAAATTCTTCTGGAATTAATCACTTTCTCAGGCACACAGAAAGCCTAAAAATTTGTCTTGAAGACTTTATGAACCAACTTCCAACGTTCAAAATAACAAAGGATCCCATCTTGTCCACTTATGAGATAAACAAAACAGCTCATAAAGGAGAAATCATCACAGGATGATTTCTCAGAGTCATCAGCTTGAGCAACTCACAGGTTCTGGTGTTCACTCTATAGAGTAGACCTGATTTTGCTGACACACCAGATCCTAGATGTGGATCTCAGAACTTCAGTAATAAGTGCTGAAAAACAACTCTTCTCATTCCTGTTTGGGAATCCCATATTCCTTCTGGCATCACCTGTTGAGCTGATCATCCTTGCTCCTCCCCAGACCTTTTAAGAGTCACTCAAGCAAGAATGCCCACATAGAATCACAGAATTGATTGGAAGAATTGGGTTGGAAGGCACCTTAAAGCTCATCCAGTTCCAACCCCTGCCATGGGCAGGGACACCTTCCACTAGACCAGCTTCTCCAAGCCCCATCCAGCCTGGCCTTGAACACTTTCAGGGATGGGACACCATCAACTTCACTGGGAAAACTGTTCCAGTACCTCACCACCCTCTGAGTAATTAAATTCTTTCTAATATGCCATCTAAATCTCTTCTCTTTTATTTTAAAATCATCCCCCCATGTCCCTATCACTATCTGCCCGTGTAATACGTCACACTCCCTCTTTTTTAAAAAGTCCCCAACTTATTTTCTAAGCCCTCAGATACCAATTTTCTAGGTAGACAGATGTTCATACTACCTTTGAAAGCTGCATTTATAGTCAGATCCAGATTTTAAAATGCTCAAGATCCAGTTGAATCTGCACTTCAGGAGGGGGCAAAGGTTTAACAAGGTCTTCTCCTCTCTGCCTTTAGCTTCTGTGCCTATGTTAGGTTCAGTTTAGACTGGACTAAGACAATGAACCGACACAAGGTTGGTTTGCAGGCTGAGCTCAAGTTCTAAGTTAATGGCACTGAAGGCTCCAACCCTCCAACTTCATGAATATTCCACTTTAACAGTGCCCATGATCCTCTCACGTGGTCTTGAGCTGAGCTTTGACTCCTAACAAAAAGTTACAGTACAAAAGCAAACCAAGTGCTTCTGATGCTCTGAAGCTGAAAGAAGAAATGACCACAGCACATCCTTGACCTGAATGTCCCTGAAATCTCTGAAAGCCATAGGAGAAAACAAGCACAAGTACTCAGGGGGATGTTCAGTTTCTACGTGAAGCACAAAAACTGGGGCTTTTCAACAAATTGTGCCTGAAAAATAAAGGCCTTTGCTGTCTTGCTGTGGATAAATCTTCAAAAATATGAATTGCCCTGAATTTCCACAGAGTGAACAGCCCATAGGGCAGCTCGTTGGAAGGACACAGGGCTGGAGAACTGGAAGGACTGGGAGGACTAGAGTGGAAATTGCAGTGGAAACAATGCAAAGTCATCACTGCAAGAATGATAAACCCGACCAAGTCTGCATGAGGGAAGCAGGGAAATGAGGGAAGCAGAGAAATGAGGGGAAAAAAAGTCACTTATAAGGTGTTTTACTTCTGGCTTTTTTGCTCAGAGATCTGCCTTGCAGGAACTGTGGAGGAGGTATTGAGAGAATGAGTAATATTTCACACATATAGACTCTGTGGCTGGCTAAACTTTGAAGAATATCAGGCATCTGTAAATTCTTATTTAATTCTCTAACTTCTTTAATTCTTTCAAAAGTGTACAATTTCTGTATTTAGAAAATCAATGAATTTTTGTATTTGCCTAAACTTAGACTTTGTCTTATTAAGTTAATTATTATTATTATCACCATACCTAGTTGGAGACAAGGATAATAACACAATGTGGTGAAGGGAGAGGGGTGGTGGAAGAAACAGAGGGAAATAGAAAACTCAGCAGCAACCACTCAAGTCTCATTCAAAATATGAACAGATGAAAATCTCTGACATTATTGTCTTACTTTTTCACCTTCTACTTCCCAGGGATCTGTTATCTACTGAGAAAGGGTGCGTTACAGGAAGATAATCATCATTTAAAATTAGGTTAAAATTCACTTACACTTTAAAAGACATATTTTAATGGGATCAAGATACTCTGGGGGTGTTTTATTCACTAATTATTACGTGCCTTGGACACTAACTTCTCTGGTAGAGCGTTTCAGTGCCAAAAGCATGTATTAATGGACTCCAGAAAAAAAATCCCTGGGGTATTCTAATGCTTCATTCATAGTGACAGAGGTGTCCTCTCATCTTCACCAGTGGGTTAACTAAGACAAGCAGAGGCAGTTCTGCAGCACGTCACCAAGGAGGCTGGAAGAGCCCAAGTTTCTGACCTCTGAAAATGCAGAAAAAATGCTCTAATGAAATTTGTCTCCTCTGGTTGCAGCAAGGACACTGCACCATGGACCTAAATGCATAGGAACGGACATTTAAAACCATGTTTTGCTATGCAAAATGAATTTCAGTGAAAGATAAAAAATTTACAAGTGTGGGAGCACAGGAATAACAGGAGAGCCAGAAATACGGCAAAGAACTCTTCAAATTAATTATATTAGTCCATGGAATAGCACAGTTGTATCACAAATGTCCTTCATCTTGGCCTGTTTCAGTTCTCTTACTCATCCTCACTAGCTGGTCCTGGTATCTGTAAATAACATGTCCCCCCTCCAAATTATTCAGAGGTTGCAAGAGATGCTGCTCAGTGATCTCCTACAAAAAGCAACTATCCCTGTGTTTAAATAGGTAATGGTCTAGACAAAGATCTTTTCCTCTAAACAAAGGAGTGACCTAAGTTAATTTCAGAGCTGCTGAAGACAATGACATGAGTTTGTATCCTTAACATCTTCCCAAAATATCCAACAATGGCTGCTGAATAAGTAAAGCAGTAAACAACAGGATGAAGGGGGGGCTGATATTTCCTTCCAGACATCAAAATGGCTCCATAATAATATTAAATACAGTCACCATGACCTGCTTTCAGGGTCTGTGTGCTGTGTTAACGAATTAAAAATGATTTTGTGTTGCCCGTGGTACAGAGCCCCTCATTTCTGTGATAAAGTGAACAAATCCTAGATTTGAAAGTGTGAAGAAATCTAATCACTTCTAATACTTCTGACTAAAAGCTGCACATAGCTTGGCTTATCAGTGGTCTTCATTCCCTTCTGAGTTATGTTCATTGCCATGTCTGACAAAACACTTTATTTATAGCAAGGAAAGATCTGATGGAGGGCACTCACTGAGCCTCCACAGATAAAGTTCCCTTTGACAATGCACTGGAAGGGGCCATAACTCCCTGCACAGGCATTTCCACATTAAATTTGATTTAGTGTCAAATTTTATGCCCTGTGAATCTCTGTGCAATTTTCTGTTGGATTTCCTTTCATAAATTGTTAATTGGATGTGTTTGAAGTTGTTCTTTTGTTGAAATTTGCCTGTGGCGGATCTTTGTCAAGATGTATCTATAAACCGAGCCCTGCCTGTGAAAAAAATTATAGGGGAGAAAAAAGTTGAGTATATCTGATACACTCAGTAGTTCTTTTAAAATTAAATCCTCAGGACTGAGGGTCATACTATGCTGTTGTTCATCATATCTGAAAAATTATGCCCAGGCACAACATTTTTCCTGCTGGATAAAATCTTTCCATGAGGATAAAATCGTTGCTGCTTACAACTACAATTTTTTATCAGATTTATTCTACCAATGGGGAGATTCTGTATGCAGTTGCTGATAGGAAAAAAGAAAAAAATAAGAAAGAAAAAAAGGTTTTATCTGGAAGGTGACAACTTCTGCCAGGGTCTGCACTTTACCAGCAGTAAATGTTTGCATCAAAAGTTACTTGTCTGAGACCCCTCCAAAAATTCCCTTCCAACCCTCTTCCTGCCTTTCTCCCCATTTGTATCTTAGGAGGGACAGAACATCACAAGTTTTCCAACTCTTGTCACATAAAATTACCAAGCAAGGGATTGCAATGACCTCTCTTCTAGCTCCCATATGATCTTAATTCCACCTAGAAGCAGAAATCCAACGGGAAATCCACTAATACAACACCCACCAGCCTTCAAAGGTCATCTTCAGAGAGTCACAGGATCTCCTGTTGCAGAATGAGTGTCCTGGTGCCCCCTCAGCCCTATAGCTCCCATTTACATCTCTAACTATAATGATGTCATTTCTGATTGCCTGCTACAAGATTGTTCCCTTATCAGGAATTCAGGGCATGAAATGTTGACTAGAGATGGATGAGAAATGAGAAATGGCTCTTAGTGCCAGTGAAATGTTTAGTGATTCCAAAGGAAAATTTCTTTTCCAATCCTCATGAAAACCTGAAGATATAGAGAAAAATTATACAACAGAGAGAAATAGAGAGACAAACACACTCCCTCCAGCTCGGGTTAGTACAAGACAGGTAATAAAAGTGAGAAATAAGATGGGCCTCTCACAGTGTCTCCAAAAAGAACCGTAAGATTTGATGGAAATAATCAAGATTTATTGAAACTGGAATTACAGACTCTGTTCACCAAGTGAATGACACAGCACAGAGAGAGGAGAATGAAGGGCTGAGGAAGACACAAACTTCTACTTTCAACCTCAGCATGAAGGCAGTTGAGAAGGAGACTTGATTAAGCCTGAAATCAGACAACATGATCCCATTTCTACACCATTTCCTTCCACTCCAAATCCAACC